TCTCTTCAGAGCTGTTAGAGTTTGTTTTATGTATTTTGGAGCCCTGTTGTTGGGTGCACAAATATTTGTTATAGTTATGTCCTCCTGGTGTATTGACCCTTTAATCATTATATAGTGCCCTTCCTTATCTTTTGTGGTGGATTTTACTTTAAGTCTGTTTTGTCAGAGATCAATATTGCCACTCCTGCTCTTTTTTGAGTGTTGTTTGCTTGGTATATTTTTTTCCATCCTTTGAGTTTTAGCCTGTTTGTGTCTTTAAGTCTAAGGTGCGTCTCTTGTAGGCAGCATATAGATGGGTCATGCTTTTTTATCTGATCTGCCACTCTGCATTTCTTTATTGGTGCATTACTTCTGTTTACATTCAGTGTAATTATTGATAGGTATGAGTTTAATGCTGTCATCCTGATATGTCTTTTTGTGTGTTGTTCAGTTTCTTTGTTCTCCCCAATTTTCTGTGCTGAGTCGTTTTTCTTTATTTTTTTTTTTTTTTCATCTTTGTTGTAGATTTTGTGTTTGCTGGGTCTTTATGTTTTTCTACTTTTTTATTTTGATTTGTAGGATTGTTAAATTCCTTTGCAGTTACCTTAATATTTGCCCCGAATTTTCTAAGTTTATACCAGTCTTTTATTACTTTATATCACCTTAACTTTCCCTCCATGTAGAAAATCAATGTCTACATTTTTTAAGTCCCTCTGTTTTTGTTTTAATATTATCCTCTTTTTTTTTTTTTTTACATATTGATATCTGTTTCCCTATTTTCAATGTTTTAGCTTTGATGTAATTTCGATTTCCGTATCGGAGTCAATATCTGGTTGCGCTATCCTGTGTTCTAGTCGTGCGTTGTTAGCTGGTGTTATTGATTATCTAACCGTAGGACTCCCTTTAGTATTTCTTGTAATTTTGGTTTGGTTTTTGCAAATTCCCTGAACTTCTCTTTATCTGGAAATGCCCTAATTTCACCCATCATATTTGAGAGAGTTTTGCTGGATATATAACTTTTGGCTGACAGTTGTTTTCCTTCAGGGCTTTAAATGTGTCATCCCATAGCCTTCTAGCCTGCAGGGTTTCTGCTGAGTAGTGTGAGCTTATTGTAATTGACTCTCCTTTGTAGATGACTTTTCTTTTATCCCTAGTCACTCTTAAAGTTCTCTGTTTCTCTTTGTTTATGTTAAATTTGATTATAGTATGTCTTGGTGACTTTCTTTTGGGATCTACCTGATGTGGGGTTTGATGAGCATCTTGGATAGATATCTTCTCATCTTTCATGATATCAGGGAAGTTTTCTGTCAACAAATCTTCAACAATTTTCTCTGTATTTTCTGTTATCCCCCCCGTTCTGGTACTCTAATCACTCGTAGGTTATTTCTCTTGATAGAGTCCCACATGACTCTTAGAGTTTCTTCATTCTCTTTAATTCTTTTGTCTGATTTTTCCTCAAATAAGTCGGCATCAAGAGCTTTATCTTCAGTGTCAGTAATTCTGACTTCTACTGCCTCAGTTCTGCTCCTATGACTTTCTATTGAGTTGTCTAATTCTGAAATTTTATCTGTTAATCTTCTGGATTTCTGATTGCTGTCTCTATGGATTCTTGCAGCCTATTAAATTTGGCATTATGTTCTTGAATAACTTTTTTAAGTTCCGCTGCTACTGTGTCTGTATGTTGCCTGGCTGTTTCTGCGTTCTGTCGAATTTCCTTTCTTATTTCTATAAGAGTTCTGTATGTTAATCATTTGTATTCTGTCTCTGGTAATTCCAAGAAGTTCTCTTTCTCCAGAGAATTTACTGATTCTTTATTTTGGGAGCTTGCTGAAGCCATCATGGACTGCCTCTTTATGTGACTTGATATTGACTGTTGTCTCCAAGCCATCAATAATTTATTATAGTTTTATTTTGTGTTTGCTTAGTGAGACGTAGCTTCTTATTTTGTTTTGTTTTGATATGCCCAAATAGGCTGCTCGTGTGCACTAGTTTTATTTTTGACACCTTTTGGTCTCTAATGTCATGTCACCAGGTAGTTGGTTCTGTAACTAAGTATGTGCATGCCGGAGTTCGTTAAAATTTCCTATATGGGATCAGCTCGGGTGTGCAGGCAGTCGATCACCAAGTGTGTGATGCAGGCTCTCACCCCTCTCACCCCTGGTCCTAGACAGGCGTGGGTGATTGGTGCAGGCACTGGACTATGGCTGTGGTAGGAGATCACGTGCTGAGCCAGGCAGGGGGCTGACAGCTGCCCCTGCGAGTCTGAAAGAAAAGCGTGTCCCTATTCTCTAGTGTGAATAGGTAGGTGAGTTTTGCAGCCGGGCTAAGAGTGCCCCACTATGTTGGCTGCAAAGACTTGAGGGCACCACTTTTTCTTGAACTCCTGAAGCAGGTGACTAGGCACTTTAGGAACTATCACCAGTCCTCAAGACCCTGCTGCAGATCGATAAAAGTGCCTACTTGAGGGGCAGGGCTGTTTTGAGGATCACAAATCTGCCCGTTCACAGCTGAAGCAGTTGAAGTTAGACTTCAGATGTTTGCCCTGTTGTACTGTGGTAGTGAGGGCTAACGCTGTTGAGATGGGTCCCCACAAGTCTATACTGGGGTGTTTGGCACTCAGAGTCTGCGGAACCCTGATTTCTATGGCCAGCAGAGGAGTTATGCCGACCCTGTGTTCCTGGCCTAGGGGAGCCAGCAGCTTATTTGTTCCCTCTCCAAGGCCAGGAGAATGGGTCAGGGCGCCTTTTGGGATCTGTTTCCAGCCCAGTGGACTCCTGGTGCAGCGTGGGGAGGGAGGCGATAAAAGGAAGAGAGGTTTTTCCCAAATCCGGTGGAGAGCGCGGAGGTAGGAGGTAAAAGGGAGAGAGGTTTTTCCCAAATCCGGTGCAGAGCGCAGAGGTAGGAGGTAAAAGGGAGAGAGGTTTTTCCCAAACGGCCTTTTTTTTTTTTTAAACTTGCCGCGAAAGGGTGCGCACATGTACTTATCCTAGCCTCTTGGGAGCGGCTCTTCACTGGTTCGGAGTATCCAAGCAGAATCTCTGCTGCCGGGTCTTTCTCAATGTGGAAACTGCTTCTCGAGCACGCGCACAGCATAGCTGTTTGCCTGCTTCACTGCGTCCCGGCGTGGCTGTGTCTCTGCTGTGTCACCACTGCAGCTCTAGCGCTCCTCACCTCTTCCAAACGGTCTTCCTCTCTGGTATGACTCAGATGGATTTCTTAACCTTGCCTTGTTCAGGGCTGCCAGATGTTCATATAGAATCATATCACTTGTTTTTCCAGGTCTTTGTTGTAAGAGGGATATAGGAAGCGTCTAACTAGTCCTCCATGTTGACCACGGCTCCCACAACCAGAAAATTTTTAATTTTTTCTATTGATTTATATCTTACATGTCAGTATTTGAAGGATATTTCATAA